TTTTGTTGAATTAAGTAGATAATAGTAATTTTTATTTAGAGAGCAATTCAAATATTTAGTGTATGCACTTTTAATATTTTAATATTAATGTAAACAAATATTGTATTTGTTCTGTATATAGGTTGCTAAATTTGCTAATTTTTGCAAAATTTACATTTTTTTATAACATTTTTAAAATATATAAAAAATGTATTAAAAAATTTAAACAAATATATTTGAAATCTCTCAAAAATGACAATATACCCAAATTCAAGGCTTTTGTAAAATAATAGGAGGTTAAGAAACATTAGTACTTTGAAAATTTTAATTTTCAAAAATTATTTTTGTATTCTAAGAATTTTTATAGTCAAAAATATCCGAGAAAATTTTTTATAATTCAATTAACTAGGGACATTATTGCACGCCAGACAATTCTAAAATTCAAAAATTTGCCTATAGCTTCCAAAATTTAAATTTTGCTTTTAAATTCTCGCTACTATACAGAAAATTCCATAGATTTTTATGTGGTGGATTCTAAAGCCGGTATTGTCATTGATTTATGCTTAATGGAAATTTCTCTCTAATGTTCAAATATAGCACAATATATTTAATTGGATTTTCCCTAAAAAATTTACCCATTTGCCAATTCCCATTTGGCAATGATTCCCATTTGCGTTAACGAAATTTTACTATTATACAAATCATTTATAAACGCATAAAAATATTATATAAACTGTAATTTATGAGTTCGCGTGTTAAATTTTTGGCAATATCACATTTTATATTAAAAGTTCATTGACTATAAAAAAGGTTTGATTGTCGCATTTCGTAAAAATATCAATATAATTAATACAATTATTACTCATATGAATTATGAGTATAAAAGGCAGAAAATTCATACCCTAAAATTCATCAAAATTATTGTTCGATTACAGTTTTTTTAATAAAAAAATTAAAAGAAATTTTATAAAAATTTTCTTTAAAAAAGCACAAGCAATTATTAGGCTTTTATAAAACATTGCAATAATGCCTTTAAAAATTTCACAATAATACAAAAGAAAGGAAAAAATATGATTAAAACCTCACTCACTCTGAGTAATTTTCTGACAAATTGGAAGCACTAAAAAATTTTGATTTTTCTTTTTTTTCTTTTAAGCTATTCAAAATTTTTGTTTGGAGTTACGCACTATTAATGAAACACATAGCATCCGAAAAAAATATTTTTATAAATTTATTTAATTACACAATTAAAGGTTTCGTGTGTGTTTACATTGTTTTAAATGATTGTCAGCACCATGTTAGAAATATTTGTAAGCCCTGTATGTCAAATATTGGTTTAATTACTTATTAAGGTTGGTCAAAATAAATTAAAGAATATTTTTGTTTTGTTTTTATAAATTGAAAAAAAAAAATATTCACCACCCGGCGTAAATATTAATTCTCTATTCTCCAGGTTCATTTGGAAAACAATGAATTCAAATGAGAAGGCAGGATTTATTGTGAAAGCATAAATGGAATCGTACTGACATTTATGTTATATAAGAATGTAAGGATGTTGAATGAAAAAATTAAAATTAATATAGGGACTTGTGGCAATATTATATAGCGAATAGTGAGGAATGAGGATATTAAAAGAAAACGGAGGTTGTCACAATAATTGTGCTAGTATACGGTAATTATTCAATTCAAGACCATTAACAAAATATTGTGACATAAGCAAGGTTACGAAAATGTCCCTTGAACATTTTTTTTAAATTTTAAATACTCGACTAAGTTCTATTGAAAATTCCAGTAAGTTCTGCTATCCGAATATCAAAGACTAGTTCCTCTGCTAGTTTCGGTAGCAAATTATAATATTAAATTTCAATTCGTCAATTAGTTTCTAAGATATTTTCAGTATATATGATAAGTTCATTGTACGAACTCTGTTGTTCCCAAAAAATTTACTAGCTCATTTTTTTAACACTCTGAGCTTAAATATTAAAATTCAAGGAAAAAATTAGATCTGTTGATGGGACATGATTTCCTCGAAAAGACTGATGGTGGCTTGTAGCATTTTCAGACAAAACTTGTATATAGAATGTTATCTATTAATCTGTTCAATATTTTTTACAAATAACCAAAAATATGAAATTGTTAAGTTAAGGCAGTTTAAGGTTCAGTTCCCCAGATATACAAAATTTTGTGCCATCATATAACCTCCCTTACTGCAATCAAGTACTGTGACTAAAGACTCTCCTTTAAACGCAAAACGATTTTTTTAACTTTTAAAAATTTTATGAGTAATTTTTAATGTTGGTTGGTAATCTTGGGGAGTTAAAAAATTTTTTCTTTTCTTTTCTTTTTTAAATGTCTCGGATTTAATTACTGTATTATTAATATAAGATTTTAAAAATTAATAATTAAAAAATTGAAAATAATATTTTCTGAAATTTTATAGTGATCGATTCATTTGGCAATGTACCATCATCATTTAGTTGGGGTGATAATTTTTGGTTTGTACCACGTTATGAATGCGATTCAATTAATGAACCAATAAAACCAAAATTAGATTTACGTTATAATCGTACAATACAAGATGAATTTTTTATAACAAAAAGTCCATTTAATGTTGAATATCGTATTATTTATGCAAATTATACAACACAAAATCAACTTGATATTAAATTACAACATTTGGTAAGTAAACAACATCCTAAAGTTATGCAAATAAAATTTATTTATAACAAAATGTTTATAAACATTGTAGCTATTTTAATTTATTTTTATTTTAATATTGTATAATTGTAGCAAATTTTACATATTGGACTTTGTATACCAACATCATGTACAAATAAAGAAATTTTGTATTTTAGTGAAATTTATTTTCAAAAACATATTCTACAAAGGCAATCATTATTAGATGTTAATATTGAAATGATGAATATAAAAACGCCAAAATTTAATTTATTTGAATTATTGAAACAAACAAATATTATGATATTAATGTAAGTTCTTTATTTTAATTCTAAATTTAACACTCTCATTTCCAGGTCTGTTAAAACGGCCTGACACATTACAACGGTCACAAAGAAAATTATTAAAATGGTTCCCGCTACCGCAAACATTTTGTGTAGTTGACGATATTGTACGATATAAAAATTTATAAGCACCATTTTAATAAAAAAGTCCCATTTCAACGTCAAAATTTTTCTTGATTTTAGTATAATGATCGGCAGTCTCTCGAAATAATAAAAATATATTCCAAGAATTTTTCAATTGCTCTGTATCAGGTCGAGGGGTCTGCCAATACAAGTTTGTAGTTTATTTTTTACTGATAAAAACCTATTCAAGAAAAGGCTTAAAAATATCATGGCATTGAGAGTGTTTAAATGTATTTTAAAAATATGCCCGACTCTAATAAAATTTTAATATTTTTACAGTACAATATTTTCGAGTTTATTTTTTCTATCTGGATTAGCAGTACTATTTGAATTAATTTATGAACGTAAAACCATATTTGATGAAAATACTAAAAAGCATCTTCAGGGAGATGTTTTTGAACAAACAAGTATTGGACGTTTTATATCATGTTTTAATTGTGTTAAAAATTTTAAAATGCTTTTTAGTACAAAAGAAATTCATTCATCAAATTATATAAGTAGTTTACCAGGACTAAGGTAATTAATTTTGTATTTTATTTCTATATAATCTAAATTTTCTATAGAATTTATAATTTAATTTTTTAGTGATTAATAAGTTAAATTTTCTGCTTCTTGTTCAAATTATCCCAAGAAACCTTAATTTACATTGTCTTATTGTGGAAACACCAAGAATTTTTTTTTTGTACTATAGTGGAAGACTAGTCGGCAACTAAAAGTAAAATGTCAGTCAAAAATCAGTATGACAAATTTTTTTATTAAAACTTCTTTCTACCTTCTTCCTCTGTCGAGATATAAGTCGCCGTTAAAAAACTAGCACAATTTCAATGATTCATTTTATAAGGTGTCTATTTTATTCCAATATGATTTGGTTTTGTTTTCTCCTCCTGTAAGTATGCAATATAGGAATATAATACGAGAATAATTTCGCTTGTCATTCTTGTTTAGTGTTTTGTTAAAAATCTTCTTTTATCAATAGATTGTTTGAGTTTAAACTGACCCGAAGAGCTGGATCAATGCAAGGCACCATATGATATTCTTAAAGTATAAAATAAAATTTACAGTACTCTATTTTGCTCAATAACTCCTAAACTAGATTAAGTAGTATGATGACTCATACACCAAATTGAAACCAAATTGCCATGGTGCTAAAATTTGAAAAAGCTCCAATGTTACGTCACCTAGAAAATTAACGTTTTTTAAAAATGAAAAGTTAAAATTTCAAATTTTTCGAACTTTAAAGTGATATTATTCCGAAATCTGAACCTATTTTAGATAATGTAGATATAAATGAGAAAGCTCTTGCACTGAGTTTTCCAAATCATATTTAATAATGTATCTGTCTTACACAATTATGGAGTTATACTTAAAATTTGAAGAAGTAAAAAAAATCAGTTGAGATTGATTTTAAGCCTCTGTTACTCCAAATCTGTCGAGCTGTGAATGTTGTCTCCATTAAGAAATTTTGTCTACTCATGAGGGCCTATACAATATAGTATATAGCAGTGCACTTTCATATGAGACATGTATTTTTAGAATTAATTAAAATCATAGTATTATTAAATAACCTGACTCCTAATAACTAGACTTGGCATTATGAATAATATTACAGTTTGTAATAAATTTGTCATTTTTATAGTAGTTCAACTTAATCTTACACTTATACAGCTGAGTTTTTGAGTCTTCAAAATTAGATAAATAAATCTTATTATAAGAATTTCATTTTTATTATAAATATTTATTTATACATTAATAAATTATTAATTTTACATTTAATTCTTATATACATACATATACACATATAGAACAATAATTTGTTTTTGGATAATTTTCCTTCATGTTAATTGGTATCCAATGTTTACATATAAAAATATTTTACATATGGCAATATCATTTGATAAAATTATTGCTCAACCAACTTATCAAGGTTTTTATTATGTTGATGCATTTTTCGTAATTAGGTGAGTATTTTAATATTTTTCTAAAGTATAACAATTAATTAAATAATATTATACAATTTGTTTAATTATTTGTAATTCTTATATGCATTCTTATATTGCATTCTTTAATATTTGGCAATATTATTGAAAATTTATTCAATTCTATGAAAATATTTTTTATTTATTTTTCATATTTTTTCTTATTTTTTATACAGTGGTATGCTTTTAACTTACAATTTTTTATCAAATAAAAAACGATTTGAACTTATACGTCAGAATAATTTTATACAAAATTTTAAATTATACCTTCAATTATTGTGTCACCGTTATCTCAGGTATGTATATATTAATAAATTTTAGTATAAGAGTTAATATACTTCCGTTGAAATTGCATGTTTTGATATTGTGAATATTTTTTTTTTTAGCATATTTTTTTGTGCAAGAGTATTGTAAATATTTTTTTTTATGTTGATTTTCCATACACACTTTCAATATTGATTTTAATTCGTTTCTCTTTTAATAATTAAAATATATATATACATATTTTGTAGATTAGTTCCAGTTGCAATATTAGCTGTTCTATTAAGTGATATCGTTTATGATTATTTAGATAAAAGTTCACCATACTATATGAATATGACCAATGATTTATATTGTAAAGAGTAAGTATATTTGTATTTATGTTTGAATTTTAAGTATTACAATTTGTAATATTTCAAATTGTATACTCAGAAGAATTTGTAATCAAATATTTTATTAAAAAATTATTTAAATATTAATTATATAAATATTTTTTGTATAATAATTAAAATTATTTTTTTTTTTTTCAAATTTTTAGGAATTGGATTGCAAATATTTTCCTTTTAAGTAATATTTATAGTATGAAGAATAGTTGTGCTTCATGGGAGTGGTATTTAGCATGTGATATACAATTTTATATAATATTTTTAGGAATATTATTCTGTTATACAAAATATGAAAAATTAACAAAATTTTTATATTGGATTTTATGTATAACATTTATGATAATAAGTTTTTATTGTTATTATCGTTTAAAATTTACATTTGGGTAAGTTTACATTAATTTTTTTATTTTTGCATTTATAATTTAAAAAAATGGAAATATGATGATAATTAAGAGCCTTGCAATGGGATCTATATGAAATTTAATTGCATTATGGAAAAAATATTGCTTTCTTTACTGTAATAGCTGCGGTATAACAATTAACCTTTTATGAATTTTGCTGAATATATTAAAAGTATTATAAAGTTAAGAATTTCCTTGAAAATTAAAGCATATAAGATTAAGTGTCGAACTCAAAAAATATATTTTTTAAAATAAAAGAGATTGCTTATCTCGGAACTGAGTCTTCATATTTTTTATAACTTTTATAACAATTTCGAATTGAAATAATTTAGTAATTATTGTGATAAAATCATTTTATTATTGTTCTGTACGAAAATGAAATACAGTAGATTCTGTATTATTCGAATCTTAACAACTTGAAAATATTTTGAAAACTCGAAGCGATATGAGTTCGTCCTTTAACTGTTATTGATAGAAATTGATAGAAATTATGTTACAGCTCGAATTTCCTTAATTCGAAATAAAATTCAGTTTCCATGAGAGCAAAAATTTACTTAAATCGAAAAATTTCCCAAATTTTTGCAAAAAAAAAAAAAAATTATATTTTTAATTAAAAAATTATCTGTGAAACTGTTATACAGCGAAAAATATTAAAATTACTTAATACATATATAGTTACTTAATAATTAGTTTAAAATTTAATTATGCCTTACCAGTATATAGGGTAATTCTTACCAGTATATAGGGTGATTCTATAAGATTGTACAATTTTGTAGCATACTATATTGATTTTATAATTGAAAATTGGTAAAAATTTTCATTTGGAAGTAATTCGATTTGCGTAGTATAACAATTTTAAAAAATTTGTTCTATTAGGCTCATATACGTCTGTAGCTATAATAATAATTTTAAGAGATATAGGATCTTTAGAAATAACATGTTGTTAATATAAATCATAAATGTGAGAAAATTTCTGAAAATTACCAATATTTCATTAATTTTTTGAGGCTATATTCTTGTTAAGCTTACAGAAATTCTAACTTAATCAAAATTAAATTAAAATCAAATTTTTACTTTTATAATTAATAATTTATTTTTAATTATTTCTATTTTAGATATGATGTACACTATAATACTGAATCATATGTTTATAATAAACCATGGACAAGAATAAATCCATATTTTGGTGGTGTTCTTATGGGTTATATTTTACATAAAATTTCGGAAAAAGAATGGAATTTTTCATTACATTTAGCATTTTTATATTGGTTATTAGCATTTTGTATTTATTTAATAACAATATCAATGACATATTTTAAAAATACACCAAGTTGGGCTGCATCTGGTATTGTAACAATTGGTAAATTCTTTTTTGGTATATTTATTGGTAGTATGATAATAATGTGCCAGAAAGGTTATGGTGGAATGTTTGCTGAACTTTTAAATTCAAGAATTGCAATACATTGTGGTAAATTATCATTTACAATGTATATGACATCATCAATATGGATAACATTATTTTATTCATTAAAATCATATGGAAATCATTTTGATGAAATTGAAACGATATTAGGAAGTTATGGAATATGGTTTCATACATATTTTTATTCATTAATAATTACGACATTTGTTGAAGTACCATTTATTAAATTATCAGATAGATTTATTTTAAAAAGAAAAATATAAAGATTTTCATATTGAATATTTTATTTTTATTAAAAATTCTTTATTTTTTTAAGATAAAGAATGAATATTATGCGGCATTGAATCCGCATTTCAATGGAATTTATGAATTTAAAAAAAAATTTTTATAATAAAATTTTCGGAATTTATTTAATTTGTAAAAAAAAAAACCTTATGTACCTATATAGCAGTAAAATAAAAGTATTTTATTATAATTTTTATATTAAATTTCTATTTTAATATTTTATTATAGAAAAATAAGAAAAAATCAATTATAAATATTAAAGATGTTTTTAGAAGGGTCGCTCTATAAAATATGAATTATATAGAAGACCTTAAAAAATCTTATTTCTAAAATGATTAAAAACTTCATTGAACATTTTTAAGAATAGTAATAACTGCTTACTATATTTCTAATTATGAGTATATTAAGGGCTCAGGAAGACATGCAATTTTTGGTTTTGTAATTAAAGTTTGATTTACAAATTAATTGCTTGCCATAAGTGTGCAGCTAAATTCTTTAAAAATTATTTAATTGCAACCAGTTTCTTAAATATTTACAAATTGTTTAATAGAATATTGTTTGATTAGTTAATTGTATGCGATCATACAGTTGCATATGTGAGCATTTGACAATAAACATATGGAAAATAAGTAAGCAAATAAACAGTTGCAAAACTAAAAATTACATATGGCTGTCTGAGTTCTAAAGAAAATTTAATGGAAATTTTTAAAAAAAAAAAAAAATGATTTTGCACTTAAAATATCTCTGAAACTAAACTTATTTCTCAAGAGGAGCATTACTGCTCATATAGACTATACATTAAACCGCTAGAATGAGAATAAGAAGACACCGCTAGAATGAGAATTTCATGAAATTCAAAACGAGTGTATAAATTTGACTTTGCCTGCCATAATCCCTTAATTTTTAATAAAAATGTACAAATTGGACGGTTCTCAGAATTTCTGATTTTAAAATATCATAGCCCAAACAGGAGGGTCCTAAAAGCAAAATATTAGTTGTTGTTTGTTAGTCTTACTTTGAAAGTAATAGTAACACCATATATATTTTTAAAGCTTATCCTAATTAGAATATTTTAATTTAACATTTTTAATATTTTCGCGTGAAATTGTTATTTTATTACGATCTATTGCAATAGAAATTTTATAATGATCTTAAAAATTAATAACAAGAAAATAAAATAATTTTTTTCCTGTTAATTTATAATAATTTTGAAAGAAAATATTTTAACATGCAAAAATTTATTCTATAATTGTTGCCAGCTGATCTAAAAATTCTGTTCATTTAAATTTTATAAAAGTTGAATTATTGTTATATTTTATTGAATTCTTCAATTGTTTTATCCAAATGAGCAAAATAATATTCTGCTAGAAATGTATTGAGCAAAATTTCATATCATAAGTTCATAAACGTCTTTATTTGGCAATTAAACGCACAGAAGCTTAAAAATGTTTTACAACTATTGTAAGACAAAATGAAAGTAAAAAGTAAAAAATATAACAAAATTAATTTGTCCGTCCACCTTAACAATATCAGTTTATTAATTAACATCAATCTGAAAATCAGTCACTTAAGTTAAACAGAAAGTTAGGTTTTACGAAAATTGCAAAAAAAAAAAAAACGTCAATAAAAACTATAAAAATAACAAATAATGAATTCATAAAATAAGAGTAAAGCAAAAATAATAATTAAGACAGTGAACTTTTTGAATTTTTACTTTTTTCTTTATTTCTTATGAAAAAAGTTTATGCAATTTTCCGGCAAAGCACTTGCAAAACGAAAGCTTTTAACGATCATAACATAAATTTTTTTAAAGACAAATGCGTTATTGCAAATGGTAAAGCATAGTATCATACTAAATTGGTGTTACCATCTTGTTTTGCGTTCAACTATAAGTACTCGTATAACAGTTAAAAATATCTCAATGAAGTGAAAAGAATGATTGGTGTCGTAAATGGTGCCATTGTGCATTTTTCAATACAATAATCACAAAAAAATATTTAATAAAAGAACTGCCAGTGCAACCACCTAAACAAGGTTGAGAACCTTTAGAACTCAAGGTTAAATAATTAGACTGTTAAAAGTTCATTAAATTTATTTTATTTCGATGATGATTAAAGAATAATAATAGGCTAAATTTTGTATACATATACTTCGTAATTATTGCGGTAAAAAGAACTTCTCTTTTGCTAGAACAAATTAATAATTTCAACCCTACAACTCAATTTACAATTAGCTCTTACAATTAGTTCCTAGAATTATAGGAATACCTACAATTGTAGGAACTAATTTCGACTCTAATGTCGGAAATACATGTCAATATTTTTAGTTTAAAGTTTTGACAGGTTTCTTGTAAACTACCAAATTTCTCGAATAAGTTTTAATTATTGATTTCAAAAAGTTACTTGAAATTCACCTTATTTTAATAAATTTCACGTATTTATATGTATAATATACAGAGCTTTTAGCACAGCAGGATAAACTGAATCTATTATGACTTTACCATTATTTTGGTTTTCACTTATGTTGTAAATTTTATTCACCGCGTTTTAAAGTTCATATTTATTTTATTTTTTTTTTAATTTTTACGATAAGTAAGATGAGTAAAAGTAATTTTTATACCGATTCGAATTTTCAGTTTTTTCATTTTTATCATGATCATTTTTACGACATTACTTACAATAACTGTGATTTACCTACAGTAATATCGTAAAATTTATATATTATATTAAAATGTATAGAGCAAATCGGGATCAAGAAAACTTTTAAAAAAGTGAAAAATGAAAATAAAAAACACAAAAATTTTGTTTTTATTTTAAAAGCTTCCATTCAAAGTTATAGGCCTACGATATTATCGTTTTATTGTTGTAAGTAAAGTTTGGTGACCAAAAAATTATTTGAATGCAATTTTCTTTAATATAAAAAAACAAAATTTTCAATTCAGTTTGATCGTAGACGTCTTTAAAGAATGTTGATCGTGTTCGCTACACTTTAAAAAAAGCAAAAATCGTCATTCTTTATCGAGTTTTTCCGTAATCGTAAAAAAATTTACAGTATATTTTTATGTGCTGTTGAAAGAATTCGTTGTTTTTATATTAGTTTCTTATTTTTTTTAATTTTTGCTGATTTATAAAAAAAATTTTCATTTAAAAAAAAAAAAGAAAAACATGAAGTTTTCATTTAATTTTCATATTAAGTTCAAATTGTTGTTTTGCTTCCTGTTTTTGATTGTGTCATTTAAATGTATAAATGGTTATAATGATACTTTAGCATATATTGATTATGAAGTTGATGATGAATTAGATTCCAAAAATTATGTAATTGGTATTGTACAAATTGGTGCAAAAATTGAAAATAATAATACAAAATGTGGTGAAGAATTAAATCAATTATTAAATGGAATAAATAATAGAGAATTTTGGGCATTAAAATGTATGTAAATTGTATAAGAATATTACAAGATATCATATTACATAAAAAAGTAATATAACAATATAATAGTATATAAAATTTTATGAGATATACTTTCATATATTGCATATTATGTGCATTTGCAATATAGTGATTGAATTTAATGACTGAATACAAAAATTTCATTAAAATTGTTTTAAAATAGTGAAAATTTTTATATATTCTTTATATAATAATTTTGGAATTTATAGCATTTTAAATAGACACTGTGATTGTCTGCAATACTGGAATAAAATAAATATTATAATTATGTAATAAAATGTTATGTTATTTGTACAAATTATTTATATATGTCGAAAGATTCACAATAATAGAGCACAATATTATATCGTAACATTAACATGGTAGGTACTATCGTTTAGAGAATTAACGAGAAAAAATAGAGTTGACCGTGTTAACTCTGTGATATCCGTATGAATTTGTTATTCTATGTGCGAATGCATATACCATAGCTGACTAAGGGACAGACTATGACTTTAAGTTGCCGTATTACCATATTAATCTATGCAAAGTTTCAGTTCTGTGTTTTCAATATTTTCTAAAATATGGCTAAACTACTATTGAAGTTGTGTGACAGCTACCAGAAAGAGCCAAGAAATTTCAACGACTTTTATCAAAGACATTGGTCCTACTTATATATTTTCTTGTACGAAATTTCGATACCAAAACTTTCATAGTTTCTAAGATATAGTCAAATTAATTTTGAAGTTGTATGGCAGCTACCCGAAACAGTATTTCGATCATGAACAGATTTTATGCACTTACTACAATAAATCATTTGTGAAAATTTGGTGAACTTAGCTCAATTTGTTTTTGAGTTATCGTTAGAACAGGTGGACAGACAAAGCTAAATCGACACAGAATTCGGCGCTGATCAAAAACATACACTTGAGTCTCAGACCATTATTTCTTAGCGTTACAAATGGTAAGGCAAATTTAGTGTACCCTTCGAACATACGTTCGTACTGGTATAAAAATGCGGGAAGAATTTCCGATATATGTAGAAAAACTTAGGATCCGAAGCTTTTCCGATACAAAGAGATTTTATAAAAAATTTTAAAGACCTTAAAATTAGAAGAAATATGTTTTATCTATATGTAAGTCTTAAAACATTTCAAAACTTTTTGAGGGACTGTTTGTTGTATGTTAGATACAATGCAAACAGATAAAAATTCCATGAAATTTTTTGGTTTCTGAAACAGTTCTTTACAATGCTCTAAAAAAAAAATTTCCCATAAAATTTTCCAAAAAAATTTCCCATTCCCATTTTTTTCAAATTTAATGGGAAAACTTTCGAATTTATCGTAGATTTCTAAGGGAACCAAAGGGGGCAGGAGTCAGCGCAGTCATTCGCGACTTATTGTAGCCTATCGTGCCAATTTATCGTGCACTAATTGCAAAATATTTCGTTTTCTTGTCACGCATCAGGTTGTATAAAAACTTCTAATAATCTCCTGTCATCATACTAATTTCAGCCTTCTGAAATTATAATTAATAGATAGATTTTTTCATAACAAAAAATTTTCTGAAATTTAGTCCTAATTATCATTAAATCAACATTCTACTTGAAGGCCTTATAAAATTTTCTAAATTTATTTTCTTAAGTATATTACTTAAGTTCAGTTTTTAAGTACCTATATGTATATAATTATATTTCTTATCACTTAATATACCATTATAATTAATAAAATTATATTCATTTTAAAACCATTTTCTTTAAGCATCACATTACGAGTATTCTCGTGAAAAACCCGAAAGAGAAAAAGATAAATCAAACCATATTTATAAATGAATCCGATTTTAAGGAGTGTATTGGAATTAACCTTGAATTTTATTTTTCCAAAAAAAAAATCCTTGACTAAGTATATACATACACTTTGTTAATAATTTTTTTGATTCAATTCCTTCGCTAATTATACACTTTTGTACATTTAACTTTGATTTGATTACTTTTAAAATATTTAATAAATTATTTAATAATATAATTATTAATAATATATTTGCGTTTACGTATGTGGCTATGTTTGTATATGAAATGTTTAAATATACAAGAATAAATTTTTAACAAACCTTCAGTAATTAAAATTTTCTTTTCAACTAAATAACACACACGCCATATGCCATACATTAGAGGTGTGTTACGAGTATCTCAAATTTAACAAATTATTTTATTTACATAAATAAATATAAAATAACCTTTAATGCCAATTATATTATAAATATGAAAATATTGTAATAATTATTAAAATAAATTTTATATTGATTATTATATTTAATTATTTTTATTTTATTTAAAATATTTACTAATGTTATGCTAGTTAAAATTGAACAGGTGATGAATGAATTTGTTCAATTTCCTATATATGTACTGAATGTCAACAGAATACATAGATTTTCACTACTGGTCGTCTTATAATATTGTTCAGATTCAATATCAGAATTGTGTTATATTAAAATTTTCTGAAAGAAAAAATATTTGTATAACAGTTTAAATCTTATTACTGCTTCTTCTTGTATATTTTACAATAATTAATATAATTTTCATTAATATTCTGAAAATTTTAAAAATTCACTATAATTCTTGAAATTTTTGCATACAGCCGCAACTACTATATTTGGGTATTGTTATATAGGAAAAAAACCAACAATATAAAAAATGAATTATGTCTTCCTAGAATATTAAACATAAAATTTTATAATCATAATTTATTGCATCATGGAATTTAACAGAAATATTGCTCTAATGCTATTTCAATTTCTTTCGCCTTTATTACTCACTTGATGAGAAGAAAATATGTGACTGTTGTATATCAGTAGCTATACATATAAACAATGTAATTTTTAAGTAAAAAGCAGCGCTGCCAACTCTTTCTTACTCAATTTCCCACACTTAGTTCAAAAATTCTGATTGTTTCCATTTGCAAATCCTATTTTTTCTAAACAGATACTTTCAAATTCTAATATAAGTAATAAATACTATATGAGTTTAAGAGCTCCAAATAAATAATATCACTTTTTCATTTTTGATCAAGTGTTAAAAATGCATTTGGTCAAAAAATAAAAAAAGAAATTAAAATAAATAATAGAATTTCCCATAATTTTTGGCCTTTTTCCCTTCAAGACTTCAAATTTCCCTCAAAATGGGAAATTTTCAATGATTCGGCAAAACTGGTAAGAAGTCATTTTAGTCGATATTATAAAGTTTTGTTGCACAACTTGTTGAGAAAAAATTATTTAAAATTGAATTATAAAAGTTTATAAACTTTATTTGCTCAAAATGAGCGGCAACATACATAAATGTGTCAGAATTATTCTTTAAGCACTATTTGAAAATAGACCCAAGAACAAAACTGAATAAAAATTAAATTTATTTCTTTTACACTATAGGCGCACATTTCTTCGTTTCTTATTAGTTGAATTTTTGGGTTTCGGCCCGCAAAGGTTAACTATATTCTTCCCAAATGATCTTATTTGTAATACCTACTAAATCTTGGATATTATATAAATGTTAAATATGCATAAGAAAATTAATATACTCTTTATTACCGAGGAAATTTTTTTTTCTCAAATGATTTTTCAAATCTACAAAATAAAATTTTTTGTTTGTATGTACAATGTGTGAATGTAGATTTCATTTTTTTTGTGTTAGACTTGCAAAAATCATTTATTTTTTTTCGAATATTTTTCCTGTTAAATTTACCTTATAATTATATTTGTCAATAAAATAAGTTCATATGTACACTTATACGAGTACAAACTTAATTTCTATGAGATCTGTGCACATACATTGTTGTGATTAAGTCAACATAAGCTCATATTATACATAATTTATGTATGTATGTATGTTCATTTCAGATAAAAATACTTACATAGATCTCAAGTTTTTATTTCTGATTCCTTTTATGTTAAGAAAAGCGATCGTTGTCACTCTTAATGTACAATATGTAAGTGTATATACACAATATGCACTTTATGTAAAATTTTCATTATTAAAGTGACCAAAGGTAATATAAGAAAGATAATATAAGATAGAAGATATAAAATTATTTTTTAATTATGGTAAACAAATTTCTAACAAGATCTAAGTATATATGCGATTATATTATTGACTTTGTGTTTATGCAAAAGTATGCACCGTGAAATCAAATTGAATCCAAAATGAAAATCAAATTGAAGAAAATTATTTATGAGTTTTTTGCCTCAGTAAATATTTGTATAATATTTTGAGTTTTGTGTATTAAAATAGGAATATATATGTATATATATGTGTATAGTTGTATGTTAATTTGAAAATGAGTGTAAAGATCGGTCCCTTGAACTAAATTTCAATTTGTCAAATTCAATATAGTTTTGCGAATTGCATTTTAAAATTCAAATGCTACAATCCCATGAAATTTAGTTAATTTTTGTTTCATTTCCAAGCCAGAATTTTATATAATATTCTTTTTAATGGAAATCGTATAACACTTTAATTCGTATAACACTCTTAATGTGAAATAATAAATTTCTTAAAATGGAATTATTGAAAAGAGTATAATTATTCCGGTAGATTGCTTCAAATTTCTAAAATATAAAATTCTTTATTATATTTAAATTTAAATTTTAGTTTTTAGTACTATTACAATACAAAATTCAAAATGGACCCTATGCAACTACTCCCAAATAGTACGTAGTACAATTTTCCCTTTATTAATTATATTGAGTTTTTTTTTTAAAGAATTTATTGTTAATCTTATATTTGAATATTAAAAAAGAATTATTTTTAGAATCTCAAATTTTCTAGTACATAATAATATTGCATTTTAACACCCACGTTATATACAAATTTAATTCCGTATTTTTTTTCACTTGTATACTATTATAATCTTAGTAAATATTTTATTATTAATTAGATATACTTACTAGAAAAACTTTGATTTTTCAACAACAATATTTGAATTTTCAATTATTTCTGCTACCACATGGTACTATTTTTTTTTGCTAACATAAATTATCACATTAGTGTTAAATAAACATAACTATATAACAAAAAAATTAAAGTATAACAAAGTGTTTATCAATATTTTGTATAATATTTAATTTTTCCTATTTGTTATTATTAGTGATAATATTTGTTATAGGTCTGTGAATTTATTTTTTAGTTTTCTTCCGCTTATATTTTTCTAATTCACCAAGACGTATTTAATTTAGTCAAATGTTAAATCAGTTGCATTGTTAAAACTAAAATAATTAATTTGCTAAATAAATTAAAATTTTCTCACTTATTAATATTGAATTAATGAATTCAATTTACGTAAAATGTTGGTATGTACTTAAAATGCTGAAATTACCAAGAAATTTTGTGTATAGTTACAGGTTAATTTCAATTAATTTTAAATAATGTATAAATTGTTAATTATAGTTGTAAACTGTGATTTCTAACAGCTATACTATATTGTAATTTTCTAAAATTTATGTAATAATTAAAAGGAAAAATACGACAAATAAATTTTTTGACTTATTTCCTTTACTAGTAATCAATTAGCTTTGGTGTAAAATACTACTATAATTTGAAATAGTTACAAAATTCTAGTAAATAAGTCTAATTATATTCGTACGAATGGATATTCGAAGAGTACAAGAAAATTTTGAGCTAAGCTGTAAATTTTCACAAATGCCAGAACCCTTTTCAAATTAAATGAAGTCGAGACAGTGCTCCGGGTAATTGCCCTAAAACTTTAAAAATTATTTGAATATTTGAGAAATTATATAAGCTATAATATCGAAATTTTCGCAGGAGCAAATATATTATTAGGATTGTTATGTGTGATAATAACATTGTTGAAATTTCTTAACTTCTTGTGGTAACTGCCATACAACTTCAAAAATTACTTGGTCATAGTTTAGAAACGGTTGAAGCTATAGTATTGAAATTTTGCCCATTATTTTCAGTAGAAGCGATTTTAGATATCATAAGCGTTTGTGATAACTGTCATACAATTTCCAAAATTATTTGGTCGTATACTCGTATTATGGAAATTATTGACATTATAGTGCTGAAATTTTGCATAAGCGAATATGATAATAATAATATGGTCATTATTTTCAGTAAATTTCTTTCAGCTGATATGAGTGTATTTGGTAACTGTAATATATGTATGGAACTGCATGGAAATTAACGTACCGCACTTTAATTCATTTATCATGCGGCTGTCACACGGGGTAACTCTACCTATTCTAGTTTTTAATAAAACATTAATCCAATTTGACATATTAATTTTACAGTTCTAACCTCCATTTTTGAAAAATAAACTACTTAACCCTTTTGTAAGAAAGAATTTAAAAAATAAGTATAAGAACAAAACAATTTGTAGTGCAAATTCGTCCCCGAATATTAAATTCAAATCTTAACTAAATTGGCCACTATTAAATGGAAATCTTTATAAGAAATTTCCTCTCAAAAATCCCTTAAATGTTTCCTAATTCGAGACGCGTAGAAATTGTAGGTATAAATGCACTCTATATAGTCACAATTATTATTAAAAAAAATTAATTTACCAAAATGTTTCAGAAGTCCATTGAATTTAAATTTCTATTTTAGTTTGGAAAAAGCAAAACTATAGAATTTATAGAATTAAAAATCACAAATTTAAAAATAAAATAAAAATTAATTCTATTTTAAAGCAATTTTAATCAAAATACGAGTATTTTTGTTCCTTCATTTTATTTGTATAACAATAATATTTTACATATATTTTTGAATTTTATTGAATAATTTAATAAATTTTTTAGTAATTAATTCATTTGGTATAATACCAAAATCAATACAATGGGGTAATTATTATTGGTTTCCATCAAGAGAAATATGCGATGATTTAAATGAACCATATAAAATTTCATTATCATCTGGATTACCAGCCTTAATGAATGTTACATCACCAATTAAAATGAAATTTTCAATGTTATATTACAATTTTACAACACCATATTATGTTGACCTTAACTTAGCCTTTGAGGTAAGTATAATAAAATTATACAAAATTGATAATTATTTTTCTTTTGTATTTCATTTAATATTGGCACTCATATTGGAACACTCCTTTAATGTCCATTTTTTATTTACATGCATATATAACGGTCAAGGTTATTTTAAGGTATGAAAATTTTGTACTTAACATCTGTTTTTTTTTTCTGTTTCCTCTTTCGTTTACTAGATCAAAATATTTTTAAATTATTTTGATAAAGAAGGTCATCAGTGCATAAAGGATTTTTATTTTATTCGCGCGATCTACGCGATTTTCTTCTTTCTTCTTGGATTTTATTTCTCTTTTACTGATAAGTTCTTTATGAATAATTTAAAGGGTATCATAATTCATTCAATTTAATGAATAATTATTCCGATTACTAAATTTGTTTTTGAGAACTATATTATTAATAATTTATCAGCAAAGATTTATTGTAATGTTGATTTATTGAGAAGGTTTTTTTTATTGTCTTTAATTGCTACAAAATGGAATTTAAAAAACAATTGTCATAATAATTTATTGGTAATTTTAAATTGTAAATTTTTGATATTTTTAAAAATAAATTTTTATTCTTACAATTGTTGGTTGCTTAGATGGTTGAAGCGTTAAATGCAGTAGATTCACTGCATTCCAATTAGCACAAATGTTCCGTTTTGCTGCTTCTCTACCGCGTGATCATCAGGACATCATTTAGTGTACGATTACAGGTGGCATATCTAAGTTATTCGGTTCTGCTGAGGAATCTATGTTATTTTCGATTTGTTATACACAAAAGCTGTTATGCACGCATTCTTACAATAGTATTGCTGTAAAACTACAGATTTTGTGGTTAAAATTGCAATAAAATTGTAAAATTTCGCTAAGATTTTCGCTAAGATTGTTCGCTCGTCGTTTTGTTTAAGTAATTCTAATTGAAATGAAATTTTTTGGGATCTAAATAATTTATTGGTGAATATTTTTTGAGTATTCATTTTTAACTAAACTGTACAGGAAATCAATCATATTTTTCAATCATATAGAAAATTAATTCTGCATATAATTTCAAGTTTCTCTATCTTAATGTACTTGCTTAACTTCTTCAATTAAATTTTTCAAATTCTAAACCAATAATTAGAAGTGTTTATTGAATTCTAATTGAGTGATCATATGTAGTATTATTTTTATTAATTAAAATATAAAAATTTTCATATTTTATTGTTTTTGGGTGGGTCGTGTTTACTTATAAAATGTATAATACATACACACTTGTGTACTATATGCATGCACATGAAATTAATCTCAACGAACCAAATTTGATACTCAATAGAATTTCTATATTTGTTCTTAAATAATTAATATAATAATTACGTAATTTTAACGTATTGGAATATCAAGGTCTTTTATCAAAATTAAAAATGAAATTCGTGTATATTAATTATAAGGAAATATAAAATTATTACATAGATCGGGCATGGACAAACTGCGCGATAGTATGAGCCAAATTTTGGAAAATTAAAATTTGTCGAAAGGTGCAACTAAGACTGTATTAACAGTGTTAACTTATATAAAAATTTCCGTAGATAAATAAATTATATCCGTGGTAAGAGTGATATACAAATGCTTTCCTTTAAAGCTCAATATCAACTGTCCGTTACAATGAAGGTTTACAATTTCAAAATCGGTCTGAAGCTGATCCATTATGCGTGTGTTTTCGATGAACCATGTAGTTCTTAACTTGGATGAAAATGAAATTTGTTATATTGTTGCAAAAATTATTCTTTCATATTTATTTGTAATTTTATGCAAGCCGCATATGGGGTTCGCTCGCGAGTGGTAGTTTGGTAACCCCTGATATATAGAATAAAAAAACATTGTGTATATACTTGAAAACCTTAAATTCTTGAAAAATTACACGTGCAATTTAATTAACAAAATCGAAAACTATCAAACTATTTTGGTAATTTACATATACATACATATGTACATACTCATGACTTTCCCTGAAAATGAAGTCTTTAATGGCTGTATACCGCCCACAAAAAATCGTATTTTTATCGAGGAATATTAATTATTTCATATCTTTATTCGAGAAATTAATCATTTACAAAATCATCGAATACAAAATGTCAAATTTTTTTTATTATTATTTCACTAAAATGTAAAAGTCAAAACTCCGATTAATTTAAAGAGTTTGTAATGTTGGAAAAAAACAACACAAGATACCTACTCAATTTTTTTTTCATATTTTTTAACATTTGAGTGTTTTATTAAAAATTATATTCGAAAATTTTTATGAAATAATAATTAATATGACATTACGTTCGTAAGTTTTACTCATGGAATGAGAATAAGAACGAGTGAGTGTATTGTGCATGTCTTTCTCCGTATATATAATAATCCAAGTTTTTAGGATTACTTGTCTAATTTTTTTTTCAAAATTATGTAAAATTCAGTCACTATTCAGTCATATTGTTGTTGAAATATATTTTAAAGTGACTGCTGACAAAAACATAGTTGACATATTAAAATTTTTGTACTTCTAATTTTTCTCTCATAAAAATTTAAGTTCGAGTTTTCTCTCATCATAATCATAGCAACAATTGTTTTTAAGAGTTATTTTGTAGCGTTGCCAATGCAGAGATAAGTTGACAAAGGGGTTAACTAACATTTTGACGAAATTCGAGTTGCTACGATAAAACAATGAATATACATTGATATTATTAAGTAAGTTATCAACAAAAGTTCCACAAAAATGTCAACACAAAATATTTGTCAATTTTATCTATTTTCGCAAATTTTTAAAAAGATTCTTTTTAAATTTAAAATATTTCAAATAAAATCTCTTGATTTTCTTTCAATCTTTTTACTAATTAAAATAAAAAATGTGATAAAATCGAAATTAACATAATTTTTATATTCAAATTCATAAAAATTGAAAAGAAATATAAAAAAAAACAAAAAATTCGCTAAAACTAGATATGAAAAGATAGAAAAATTTTACATTTCACGGAGCATCAAAAAAAAATTGTTTTTTTTTCTCCCTCTCTTCTTATCACGTTTAAGCTCGTGTCATATGTGAAATAAGGTTAAATATGGATGACCGATAATGCATCTAAATAAAATAATAAAATTTCTTACAAGGTCATTTACAAAAGAAAAAGCAAAAGAAAAAAAAGATGGCGTAATCATTATGTAATTTATAGAATATTCGAGTTTGAATCGATTCATCGGAGGCATGCAATGCAAGTAGTTATACGAGAATCAATGATAAAAATTCAAGGTCACTAATAATTTTTGTTTTTATTTTTATTTGAATTTTGTAATTATAATTTTGTTAGTTTTTGGTTTTTACTTGCAATTTTAGTATATATACTTTATTACAGTTATTAAATATACTAAATACTTTGAATTACAGTTTCATATTGCGTGAATGAACGAAAATTATTGGCCATTTTGTTTTTTATTTTTATTATTAAAAAGTATTTATGATATTCAAATATTTGTTTGGAAGCATATCAAACACATGTTAATGATTCTCTAATATTCATTAATTTTATGCTGGAGTAAAACTACTTTTTCAAAGGAACATTTGACATACTTAAACATAATGGTAAAATTAACATATTTACACTTCTGTTAATATTCAAATAAAATTATGCGTTTAGTAATCAATTGCTATTGGGATGCATTTAAATCTGCTACTATTGTGTTAGTATTTCTATTATATATTTCTTGTTGTTTTATAGCATCCAGTAATATTTGGAAGAGCTGGTAATGATAGTACTATAATTGCATCAATTAAATAGCTTTTAAACGAATTTTAACTGTGCATCCTTAATAAAAATTGTTGACTCATAATACGAGTATATTGGTATTCCTTGGATTGAAGTAATTCATATACGTAAATCTTACGAATATTTTATATCTTATCGACCAAAGACGATTTACCAATTAACCAGCAATATATAAAGGATAAAATGAATTTTTTGTATTGTATAATTTAATCAATCTGCATGTATAGCAATATCCAATCTCGACTAATCAAAATTCAAACATTTTAGTATTGACATCGATGAAAAATATATATACGTTGCGTATCATTTTGAGAGGGTTGTTAAAAGGCGATATTAGCGCCGCCACAATGAAATTATTGCTATAAATGTATATCCATCCTTCAACTAATGGCATCCATCCTTTGAACTAGCAGCTTAAATAGTTTTTTTTAATCAAAATTCAAGGCGACAAGTCAAAAGTTTGCCTTATGTCGATTTAAATATTAACTTACGCATATACTAGGAATATAAATTTACTGTCAAGATTTTACCAAATGCTTTCAAAATTTTATTGAATTTTATATAATAGAAAATTAATAATGGAAAATTATGTAATAACCGTTAGCTATCTAACTCAGGTTTGGGAATATAGTTTCTTTGAACCCACGCTTATATTCAAAGCTCTTTTGCCCAAATTTCTGAAAGAACAATTTTTCTTTTCTCAGAAGCTCATCGAATATAGGCAGATACGCTACTCACTTTTTACACTAATTCTACATTATACTAGACTACATTACTTCTATGTCTAAATGTCAATGAAATTGAGTGTAGATTATTATTAATTGTATTGTGATATTTTTGAATGAATGTACATACTCAGAATATTGTCGAAAAAATATTACCATCATCAATATTATCCAGGAATTTTCAAGATATATGGAAGTGAAAGGGTTTTAATAATCTCACTTAGAGCACCTGCAGAATGCAGAAAATAAATTAATAATTAGTAAATCAATATTTCAATATTGATTTACTTATCTAGATCATATTCCATTATTGACAATTTTCTAAAATTCGTACCGAAATATGGATTTAACATGACCTTTTAATTTTTCACTCACTCTAAATGAAAAATTATTTGTTACCGTTACCTACATTTCTCTTTCAAACTTACACTTTTTAGTACTCACTTATTTTCTAATTGCAAAATGATGAAAAAACAATCAAAACAATTTTTTT